GGACAGTTGCATTCAACACATAACTTATTACTGAGTTGACAGCATCCATATAGCGGAAAGTGAAGTTAAAGGATAACATAGATAATGCTAGCTTCTGTTCTTCCTTCCTAAGAAGCTCCTGCTTTAATTGAGCGTCATATCAATAAAGGAATAAGTCGGCAAGAAGAAGAGCACAGTTGATTCCTATGAAAAAAACATGTTTTGTTTAAAAAAACACGTCCTCTAAACGTAACAAATATGTTTTCAATCAAGACATCAAGAATTTTGGTAATGTCATTTTCAGAGAAATTTTGTTTAAATCAGGGTGACGTTTTACAAATTACGATTTATCCCTTCTTAAGGTATCTATGTTGACCAATCTCTTTTATGATACATAACTGAACCCAATTCTATCAATTTACCTTTTAGTTTCGAATAGGAAATAATTTATATTGTGTAAAGGGTAGAAAAGTTTTAATACTGCTGCAAGATGAATTAGTCCTGGATTGAATGTACTCTAACAGATCTATGGAAATTTTTGATATCCACATCTGATTCATACCGCCTCTGTCATTGGTTGTTTCACAATAAATTTGAAGCCAGGCTTTGATTGCTGATAACATTGATATTGATAATTCAGAAAGATGTTTGATAGAGCACATGGAAGACGAAGCAATATAACGTTGTTTGTAAGGTCACTTATGTAATATAGGTGTCCAATACAGTGAAGAAACATCACGTTCTGCATCTTTGGTTGCAATTCCAAAGGATCATAGAACAGACCTATGATTATCCAGGATTACCTCTTTGTTAAACAAGAGGCTCTCATGAGCCTGAATCGCTCACCTGTATTTCAGAGGAGAAGATTTTTAAATGTTAGCAAACTTGAACAAATTGTTTATAATTGTCTTTAAGGGCAATAACTCCTTAAGCTTTGCTGAACATTATTGCTGCTTACAGTTTATATATATATCTATAATAATATTCAAAATAGTAACAAAAACTGCAAAATTTTGTTAAAACTACCAATTCGGTGGCAGCAACCCATCAATGGGTTGTTCGATTCGTCTGAAAATTTCAGAGCCGATAGATCTTGACCAATTGAACAATTTAACCCCATGTCAGATTTATCTAAAAGCTTTAGTTTTTGAGATATATGCCAAAAACTGCATTTGACCCCTATGTTCTATTTTTAGCCATGGCGGCCATGTTTGTCGATGGATCAAAACTTCGGATACAATTTATAAATTAGATACCCTAAGGAACATTTAGTTAAAGTTTGAAGGTATTTGGCACAGTAGTTTCAGAGGAGATTTTTGAAATAGTTTATGACGACAGACGACGACGACAGACGACGGACGACGACGGAGGCCAAGTGAGAGGCCAAGTGATGGCATAAGCTCACATGGGGCCCTTCGGGCCCCGGTGAGCTAAAAATGAAAACAACACGTTATTAGTGTAATGCGTCCGAAGAGCTTTTCTATATTAAAAATTGAAAACAACACGTTTAATAATTTCATGCGTCCGATCGAAGCGGTTTTCTGGATTTACCTTCATCAGCAACGCTCAAAGCCAAACATTTGAAATCCGAGGGATGTATATGTACCGAAACGGTTGATGAGCGATATGACAAAAATACCTAAAACAAATAGCCAAATCCATCTAAGGTCAACTTTGCCTGAAGGAGTTGAAACCTTAGTTTCTTTATAATTTCAAAATTTATAAACGGACAATTTTAGAAAAGTTTGTTATAAATCTTGTCAGTACCGAAGTACTGACTACTGAGCTGATGATACCCTCGGTGACTGATAGTCCACCAGCAGTGGTATCGACCCAGTTAACCTTCACCAGGAGCGCTCAAAGCCGAATATTTGAAACCCAAAGATGTATCAGAACCGAAAGTTTAAGAGCTGTATGACCAAAAGTACTTTAAATATAGCCAAATTCATCTACGGTCAACTTTGCATGAGGGATTTGAAACCTAAAAGTCGTGTGGGTATAAGTTGAGTTTACAAGTGAATTATCAATACCTAATTTTTTATTAGATAGTTTATATACTGCATGTACTGTGATTTACATACTCAAACGTTGTTGTATTTGGGGCGTTATCTGCAGAGACAACACCATATTTGCTATGCTGGAAGTAGGACAAGTGCTTTGCAAAATTCAGTACTTTGCATCCTCGAATTGTCTCTTACACTAGGTATGAAGGTTCAACCAAAAATCTGTATTTTATCATGTTCATATTCTTTGAGGGATAAAGAATGTGTAAGGCGAAAAATGTTTGAAAACTTTCACAGAAATGAAATTAAGTATCATATCTAATGTACAAGTTTGATGAATCAGGTAGCGGGGGCTGCATCCAAAGAAGGTATACATTTTGTACTGAATGGTATGAAACATGTCAAGTTAAGAGGTCATCATTCCGAAAAGATTCTAAAAGAAGTGAAATATCTTAAGCATGTTAAGTGCTGCATTGAAATTTGATCAATTACATATCTATTTGTATAAGTAACTTAAACAGAGATGAGGTTAATGAATTATTGTCACATGTTTTAGAAATACATAGTGATATTACTAAAGTGGATCAAAGTAGTGTAAATGGAATTATTACCAATGCTACTAAGATTTTGCTTGATTCAGCAGAAAACACTTTTGGTGTATTTAAGAAAGATTGTAGTAATTCCAAAGAACATTATAACAATTAATAAAGAATGGTTTAACCATGATTGTAAAAATAGTAGAAAACATTATAGAAAGTCATTAGCATTGTATAAACACTATGGGTCTACTATTTCCAAAGTTAGACTACGAAATAGTGAACAAATATATAAAAAACTAGGGATGATAGCATTCGTCTCTTTAATGATGATTTGAAGAATAAAATGAAAGAATTACGTAACAAGAATCCACATGATTTTTGGAAAATTTTTAATAAGTCTAAATGAACAGTGAATAATGACATTGATATCAAACAGTTTTATGTTTTTTTTTAAAGAATTGAATAAAGATACTCTTAATTAAGCAACTATTGAAATAGATAACAATCTTGATTCCGATAGATCAAATTACTTCTTCATATTCTTGTATAAAACAATAACAAGAAACAAGGTTATCAAAGGTATACAAAGTGTTAAAAATAATAAGTCACCTGGTGACAACTTGATAATAAATGATTATATTTTGTCATCTTAATTCTAAATTGATGTTAGATATACATGATATATATGTATATATGTTCAATTTAATTTTCGATACAGGTACAATTAAAGAATTACCTGGGATATGGCTTTTATGAAATGTTATTCCAGTGTTTAAAAACAAAGGTAGTAAAGGGGAACCGAAAATCTATTGGGCAATAACGTTACAATCCAGTTTAGATAAAATATTTACTTCCATTTTAAAAACTGTTTTAAGCAATAGACTTTGTGATTATTTAGATGAGATTTCTATTTTACAAGAAAATCAAGCAGGTTTTAGACCAGGATACTACACAAACAATCATTTTTTTGCTCTTTATGCCTTTTTTGGACTCTTGAAATTAAAAAAAAGTTTTATTGTGTGTTTATTGATTTTCAGAGAGCTTTTGATTCTATTCAAAGAAATCTCCTTTTATTCAAACTTTTGAATAATAATATTAAAGGAAAGTTTTTCCAAGTTATACAAAATATGTATAAAGATATAAAATCCTGTGTTGTCTTCAATAATAAAATTCTGACTTCTTCCTTTCCGAAATTGGTGTACGACAAGGTGAAATTTATCTCCTGCTTTGTTTTCTGTATATCTGAATGATTTACAAGCATTTATAGAGGAGTAAGATATAAAAGGTTTACAGTCAATAAGCATGATAAGTGCAGACCTAGAAAATGACCTAGATGTGTATCTGTAGATTTTCTTACTGTTATACGCGGATGACAAGACACTGTTTTATTAGCGGATAGTAACAGTGAATTACAAAATATGTTAAACAAATTTGCCATACATATATTTTAACAAATGGCAACTTAAGGTAAATGTTGATAAAACAAAGGTTCTTGTTTTTTGCAAACGGTAGAATTCCTCAAAAAACAATTTTTTCTATTAATGATACTGAAATTGAGAATATCAAAAGTCAATGAAAATTATGAATATTTAGGAATATTTTTTTCCAAAAAAAGGTTCATTTTTACAAACTAGAATATATTTACGAGACCAAGGAATAAAGGCAATGAAAGGCTATGTATTTCTTTCTTGAAGAAGAGTAGAATTAATAATTTATCTATTGAATGTCAACTAGATCTCTTTGATAAGGCTGTTGTACCTATTTAATTATATGGGTCACAGATAAGGGGTTTTGAAAACTTTGACTTATTAGAGAGGTTGCACCTAAAATTTGGCAAACACATTTTACATTTGAAGCAATCAACCCCAAACTGTATAGTATATGCTGAACTGTGCAGATTCCCAAAATTTCTTTATGCAAAAGTTTGTATGATAAATTTTTGGGGCAGAATTAACACAGTATTCAGAGTGTAAAATTTCAAGTTCTTTATAAATTATTACTTATAAATTTAAATAACTCTGGTTTTGAGAGTAAATGGTTTATTTATATAAAGGTTTGAAAATTGTACATGTGGAATGACTAATATTTGGAATATGCAGTTTGCTGACAAATTGGTATCAAAAAGTGTGGAAGAAAAACTTAAAGATCAGTTCACACAATTGTTTGTCACAGATAGATAGCATACCTAAATGCCTATGTTACAGAATCTGAAATTTGAGAATCATCTCAACATATTGCCTAATAACTTAATATTTGTATCAGCTGATTTGTATACTGCAAATTGAGATATATGGAAGTCACAGATTACCAATTTAGACAGGGAGATTGCGAGGCTGGCCACGAAATGACAGACTTTGTCATCTCTGCGACTCAAGTGATGTTGGAGACGAATATCATTACATCATGACTTGTAAATCTTTGGATGTAGAGAGAAAGAAATTTTTACCGGAATATTGCTGTAAAAATCCAAATACATACAAATTTTATGATTTATTTAATGAAGACAATACTATCATTTTTGAAAAATTATGTAAGTTTATAAAAATAATAAAGGTGAAAGGCAGTACTCCAAGTTAAGTTACGTTTGTTCACACATGTGCATGTTTATATACATATATGTAATTGTACAATGTTGTCGATATATATTTTCTTTGTAACTATGACATGTAGTTTTGTGAGAATAAAATTCATTCATTTACAAATTGATGATCACCCTGTGTTTACAAAAATTGTAATTATATCACATATCACTATTATCAGTTGGTGATCATCCTGTGTTTACAATAATTGTAATTATATCACATATCACTCTAAACAGTTGATGATCATCCTGTGTTTAATACCACATATCACTCTATTAGACATCAGGTCTTTAGACTACGGGATTCTCATGTGATTATTTAGTGAAACAGCTGAGCGAACCATATCTTCACATTTACTACATCTAAAAGGATTATCACCTGTATGTATTCTCCTGTGATTCTGTAATAATCTATTAGAGCAAAATATTTTGTCACATATATCACGTTACTTGGTTTTCACCAGTATGCATTTTCAAATGGTTTTAAATGCGTCATGTGGAAAGGATTTATTTCAGACACCGCAAATATATGGTTTTATGCCAACATGTTGACTCTTCATATGTGATCGCACGTTGGTGTTTGTATTAAATCCTGTGTTACGTGTACACAACACATTGATATAAACGTGTTTCACCAGAGTGTGTTCTCATGTGTGTATCGAAATCACCAAATAATTGACCACATACGTTACAATCATGGAGTTGGTCACCTGCATGTATTTTTATGTGTCCATACAGTTTCACATTACTGGTAAAACATTTCCCACATGTGTCACATATATGTATGATTTCTCACCTTTGTGTGTTTGCATGTGATTTTCAATGTTATGTTTTGTAGCAAAACGTTTCTTGCATACATAACACTCGAACAGTTTTTCCTTCGTATGCGTTTTTGTGTGTCTTTTTAAGGTCCCACTTTCAGAGAATTCTCTTCCACATAAATTGCATTTATACGGTTTTTCACCAGTATGTATTCTCATATGCGTCTTCAATGTGTGCTTTTGTCGAAATCTTATTCCACAGATGCTGCAAGTGTGAGGCTTTTCATCAGAATGGGTTCTCAAATGCACCTTCAAGTTTCCATTGCGGCTGAAATGTTTTCCACATACATTACATGCATAAGGTTTGTCACCTGTATGTATAGCCACGTGTGAATTGAAGTGTTCTTTACGCCTGAATGATTTTTCACATAGATCACACTTGAACGGTTTTTTGTCAGAATGAATTTCCCTATGTAACTTTAAGTCCCAGGCTGTTGAACACCTTTTCCGACAAATCTCGCAATAAAAGTGTTTTTCACCAGTATGTGTTTTCCTATGTCTATTTAATACACTTGTTCTATTGAAACCTTTACCACAAATTTCACATTCATATGACGTGTCACCTGTATGAATTTTTCTGTGTATCAACAAGTCATCACTCCATACAAATTGTTTCTCACATACATCACATTTGTAACGATGATCTGTATGCTTTGACATATGTTTGAACAACTTGTTTTGCCAAAAAAAACCTTGACTACAAATTTCACATTTATAAGGTTTTTCGCCTGTATGTATTCTTTCATGTGTCCGTAAATTACCAAGACGATGGAACATTTTACTACAAAAATTGCAATGAAAGGGCCTTTCATCAGAATGAATTTTCATGTGACCCAATAAAACACTTTTATAAGGAAAGCCTCTACCACATACATTGCATTTATATGCCTTTTCACCGGTATGCATTTTAATATGACTCTTTAAGTTACTGGTCTGAGAAAATGTTTTGCCGCAAGTTTCACATTTATAAGGTCTGACCTTAGTGTATTTTTGAATGAGTGTCTTAGAAGAATCGTTTTCTAATAATAGCTCGTTACATGTATTGGTTTGAATATGTTCTTCTTCTAAATCAGATTTTAAAGCCTCGCCATTTTCACCAACATCGATATAACATGGTTTACCATTATCCATATCAGATTTGTCGTGTTTGTAAGGCTCTACAATCCTTTCAATATCAAAACTGTAAGGTGTTCCATCCATAACTATTTGATTTCATCCGCCTTCGGTACAGGTATTTCGATCTTTTTGTGTTAATTAAGGCCTCTTTTAAACAACATACATGCTATATTTTAGTCTTTTAGACCTAAAATTAAAAAAAATAATATTGTTAATTTAGATTTTTAGATTGTTAATTAATCAACCGCAAAAGTGACTAAAGGTCTCAAAATCCTAGCTGAAACCCTATTAATGGTTATAATTGTTGTATAAAAATGAAAGCTAAATGGAATGGACGGCGATGTAGAGTAGACATATATTGGAGTGTGACAGCAACCTATTGACACAAACAAATATAAAAGATATTATAACGCCTTAAGCATAGTACTATCAACAATAGACAAGAGATTATATACAACACATGCAAAACAAAATCTTAATGGCCCCACGATCGCTTGGAGTCTAGAAGAAAAAACATTTAACATGTTTATTGATAAGACTGTTTGCCTAATGTTTGATGGCAAAACTTTCATGCATATGCTGGTCCAGATTACCAAAGTGAAGCCAAGTGTCTTAGGTACTGTGAGAGGATACACTGTATGATGGACTGCATAGTATTTATGGATCATTTTGTAAATGCTAATAGCATCTACAGTAACTGTTTCAATGATCATATTTACTTATTTTGAGTTCTTACACTTCCTTATTAATTCATTTGTACTCTATATGACACTAAAAATGTTTAAATTCTAGCCTTTATTAGTCTTGTATGGTTTTCTAATTTTAGTTCATTTAATTTATACATGTTATATGTTTCGTAGTTTAGTGTGATATCCATTTTCACTGAACTAATACACATTTTTGTTTGAATAGGGGCCGGTTGAAGACCACCTCTGTGTGCATAACTTTCTTGCCATGTTGAAGACCTATTAGTGACCTTGCACTGTTTTCTGCTCTTTGGTCAGGTTGTTGTCTCTTTGACACATTCTCATTTCCATTCTCAATTCTATTCATAACAACTTTCAAACCTGTTTGTCCTTATTGGCAAAATGACACTGAATGTCTGCCTTTTTCACAATTGAGGCGGTCTGACAGTCAGACTGTTATCATACAGAACTAGAGGCTCTCAAGAGCCTGTGTCGCTCACCTTGGTCTGTATATGCATATTCAACAGTACACTCTTCAACATTGTAGATGAGAATAGAATTAATGACAATAAAATGCTCCGCTGGGCGCAGCTTGATACGACCGCAGAGGTCGAACCCTGAACAGTTGGGGCAAGTATGGACACAACATTCAGTCAGGGGTACTACTTGAACAAGTAATTTTTATTTACTTGAAGAAGTAATTATAATATACTTATATAAGTAAATTTGTAGGATACTTATACAAGTGTATTTTATTTACTTGTATAAGTAAATTATTTTTTGGCCTAGTTATGTTCCTTAGACATTCAGATTTTTTTACTTATACAAGTACAGTCAGGTATATAACTCTATAGGGTTATTACAGAAAATAACTTGCATGTGTTATTACAGATACTTTTATGAGTTTTCCTTAAATTTTCTAAATCTGTGATAACATATGTTTGTTATTTGTAAAATAAATTATAAATATTTTTATTTTTAGTGGGCTCTAGGGAACACTTGAAACTTTGCGCAGAAACTAAATGCATAGCCTTGATAACTAACTATTTATTTAGATTAACACATTTTTCATTAACCATGGTAAATCAATGAGACAAGGCTTTTAAGTGATTAACTTAGCTGTAATAACAAGGCTTAGTTATTAAAGGCATGTAACTTATTTAATGAGACACTTGGGAATTACTGGGAAGCTTGCGCAGAACCTCATTTCATGCTCTGATCATTACTTCTTACAATAAATTAAAAATAATTTGTAATTGAGCATGATCTATGTCTGAGCAAATGCTTTGAAGTGATGAAGAGAAGCTATAATAACACCCTTTAGTTATTACAGGCATATTTGTTCTGTAATAACATAGGTGTGATATGCATGATTGGCAAACTATGAACTGTTTTATCTTTCTATAGTTAAGTATACATAAAGACAGTAGCAATATCAATAGAACTTGTATACATTTTAAGGAAACTAATGATGTATATTGTCCCTTTGAAACATATAACATACATATGTTATCACAGTTCTTTGATTTTTTTGTCCACAATAACAAGCATATGTTATTTTTCTCTAATAACCCTATAGAGTCATATCCTTGACTGAAGTCAGGGCCGTAGCGTAATGGAGGCAACTGAGGCAAATGCCTCACTTTTGAAACGACGACCAAACTTTAGAAGTGTCATTTTTTTTTCAATTATGTATTTTACCTTATCAATATGCGAGTTTCGAGTTTCAAATTATCTACCGGCACACTACATACAGTGTGTCCAATCTGCAGCAGCGATTGTAGCTTTTACCATAGCGGTGACGGTAAAAAAATAAGTGTTCCGAATACAAATCAAAATTAAAAAATTGAAACACAAAACGTAAATTAATTGTGGTTACAAAACTGGTTGAAGACGGGTTCTTTAAAGAGAAAAAAAGATGAAAAAGGTAACTCATGAGTATAAACACCCCCCATTAAGTATGCTGGCTTAATACTTTCCTTGGTTTATTTTTGAATCGATAAGTTAACGCTATAGTTACCAATATGTCACTGAACAACAAATGCTAATCGATAAAATAATTCATTGACCAAAAATTTAATAATTATTTATAATTAATTTAAACAAAATCATGAAGCGCCTTTTTTATGGAAGTCTTTAATGTATAAGGCAATTCATGTTTTTTATTTATCTTTAAGAAAAGTATGAAATATATTTTTGGTATTGTTTGAAAATATTTTTTTCGTGTTTCTTTTTCTGATTATGATCAGCATTGTCTGGTTGTATGCTAGCGTGTTCCATTGATTCTAGTGTGGTAGGTCGTGGGTTCGAACCCCGGTAGGTCAAACCAATGACTTGAAAATTGGTAGAATAATGTGTCCAGGTAGGTTGACATGTCTTCCAGCGGAATGTTTACAGGTAACTTGTGATCACTTGTGACATTAGCACGTCAAAAATTCGGTTAAGTAACAATGTTGGTCTAGTCTTCTCTGTACCTATTCTTATGGTTAATGATTATGTATTAAAAATAAATATATCCTAATTGATGCTTATAAGTAACATGTTCTCGTCTTTTATAAACTTATAACTTGCTGTTGGACATAAATATATATATATATATATATACATATAATAAAGCAGTGACTGTGTTCGTATTCATATTCACATTTTACACGGTTTTGTCACTTCTTGCAAACTACAAATCTGTTCATGCTGCTCTGACTAAAATTGAAAATGTAAGCACAAGTGATGCTAGGACAAATGCAAGTGGTTTTCGGCGCTACCTGGAAGACCCCGAATGCATTGTTGCCGTGTTAGTGGCCCAATTTGTCTTGAGCATTCTTAAGCCACTAACATTGTTCCTTCAAAAGACTGACTGCAACATGGTGGATGCTTTTGAGGAATCAAAAATTCTTCTGGAATTATTGCAGGAAAAGAGAACAGAGGAAATTTTTTCAGAACTTTTCAGGCGAGGTACTGTCATAGCAGATGCTATTGAAATAGATCACTGCCACGTAGGCGAGTTGGGCGTCAAGTTCATAGGGAGAACGCAGCAACTGCCTCTACTTCAGAGCAGCATTGACGAATTAATTTATTTTTCCCATTCTTGGATCACGTCATTAGTGAAATGCAACGCCGGTTTCCTGATGAGGTAAAAAATCAAATATTCGGATATTACCTTATTCCAAAAAATGTAGGCAAGTTAACACCGGAATTGATTGAACCCCTTTTCCAAGCATTTCCGGACGTAACTAACATAGAAGAGTTAACATGTGAACTTGAAAGGTGGGTAAGAAAGACAGTAGCAATGCTAGATGAAGGAAGCCTCCAGACAGCAATTAAACTAGCTAACAAAGACTTATACCCAAATGTTTCATAATATTACAAGTACTTTTAACTCTGCCTGTCACATCAGTCTGTTGTGAGAGATCGTTTTCAAGTTTAAGGCGTTTGAAAACCTGGGAACGGGCTACAATGGGTGGTGACAGGCTTTGTGGGCTTGCCATGCTCCATGTGCATAGGAATGATACAGTTGACAAAGAACGTGTGTTGAAGCTTTTCGATAATACAGGTCACATGAGAATCGGAAAGTTTTGGTTGACCAACAGAGATTAACTTTAATATTGAAACTTGTTTTGTTACTTACAAGGCTAGCTAATAAAAAAAAACGCATTTCTGTTATATTTTTTTTGTTTTATTATTATAAATACATTGACCTCTCCCATAGTAATGCTGAAATAAGCTTCTCCCGTTTCGGTCACCCGAACCCCCCTAAAAAAAATTTTCGCCTCGCTTCGCTCCGCTCAAATATTTTTGATTTGATTTGCCTCAGTTGATTTAGACATGCGCTACGGCCTTGGAAGTAAAAAAGTCATCCTATCTTCTTTTCTTGAATTCTTAGAACTTCTTTGCTCTAACAGAATTTGGAATTGTCTGTCCTTTGCAGATGTCTTTAATATTCATTTAAGTGCAATTTCATGGACAATGAAAATCTCATTTGTCTGTTATCTTTAGAACACTGCTCATTTACAAGCCCCCAAGGAGCAATTTTTGAAGGCCTTGCGCAAATACTTAAGATCTTTGCTCAATCAGTTTCTTTGTTGAATTAATGAGATGAAACATTGAATTCTTATCAAAAATTATGAGTTAACCTGAGAAAAATTGTTAAAGGCATGATTTTTCATCTCAAAACTTGAGAATTTTTGTGGGATTGTAAAAAAAATTTACTTATACAAGTAATTTTTTTAGAAAATTAAGGGGAGATTACTAAAACAATATAATTAACTTGTATAAGTAAATTTTATTTACTTCTTCAAGTAAATAAAGATTACTTGTACAAGTAGTACCCCTGACTGACATTCAAGCTTGATACACACTGAATTTGGATTGTGATTAAATATTTGACACAACATAGGTTTCTGACACAGAATGAATGTGGTCTAAGAACTTAAAAATTTTTAATTTACCAATTCAAACCATATCATTATTATTCACTTTTATATATAAATCAGAAATAACCAAT